TGTGGATAAGGATAACTGGTATCTTTTCTATGTAGTACGTATATTACCATAATTGCATAATATACGGTCCATTTGGTAGAGGAACCAATTACTAAGGTAGTCCGCTTCTATAAATATGGCATAAACTTGCAGTGATTCCTGGAAAATTTGGTAAGACGTCAACTTGAACCGTAGCATGTGGTACTACAGTCTTTTTTTTCCCTAAACAATAATCAGGCGGGATAACAAAAAAAATGTGCGAGTAGAATTATTTCGGTCGAATAATACTGATTTCATATAATACAGAGATTTCTGCTATTTTTTTTTGAAATAAACATGCGATGGAAAAACTTTATACTAATTTTTTTACGTGTCACGCACGGCTTGGCTTAATGTCGTCTAGATTTTGGCGGCTTTCAGTCCGGAGGAAATGGACATCGATCACAAGAGTTACATATAGTGGAGTAGCTCCAAATATGAAGAGATAGGCAGGTAGGCGTCCACACTCCACAGGATATGCACGCGGCAGGACGTTTCTGCTCCGCGGACGGACCTGCACCAACCGACCGACGTGGACGTGCAACTGATGCCCGCGGGCCGGGCTGGATGCAGCAGCAGCACAACACAATGCGACAAGGGCATGTTCGTTTAAACTTAACAGCCGACTTATTAGCTAGAACAATATTTTTTTCTCACAACAAAACAGCTATAGTCAGTTTATCAGCTAGCTTTAATGTGACAATACATAATCCATATAGACCTTTCGTCTATCACGAAGCTAGTTAGTACGAACTGGAATGTGATTATATTTATCACTAGCTCGTCAAACAAAACCGAACAAGAGGCCCAAGACAGCATAAGAAAAGGCCGTTCCTTTTATAGAAGAATAAACGAGCATTCTAATGGGCCTGTTCGCTGGTTGGTTTGGGCTGGTTAAAACCAACAAGTGAACAGGCTGAATATCTCATAGATAAATGGCACTAGTATTTTTTTTTTGCCGATTCAAGCATTAAATATCTGACCGTGCAATCGAAAACCGGTGAAGGCATGTACTCCTGTGTCGGCTACCAGCGCTTCGTGACTACGAATAGACATGTAGAATGCGTCGCGTGATACGAATAGGAGATGATAATCTGCTAGTTGCCTAAAAAAAATGATAATCTGCCAGCCAGGTACGCGGTGCACAGGGACGGGAATCCGGCCGGAAGCATATGCTGCAACCCGCAAACTTGAAGCTGCTAGTAGTGCTGTATTTATTAATTTAGCCCAAGAATGAGTAAGTAACTGTAAGTTTAAATAATTGTTTAAGCAGCTGCTTCCTAGCTAGCTTTTTTTATGCTTTCATTTTTTTGTTGTTGAACATACCCAGCTAATAGTTACATAGTTGATTTCTTTTAATATAAAAGCGGTGTCACGTAGTACGTGTGTGCATTTTTAACAGCTTCTATGTACTTTAGTGTATAAAAACAGCCGTAGGTATACACCACAGGTTAGGTACAGTATAAACTTTTGAAACTGTTGGTATAAACTGTGTATGAAAATGTATTTCTACAATTCTACGGTTATTAGACCTGCTGGATACATGGAGGAGGGAGCCTTCTTATGCTGTTCAACACAAATTAGAGTCACTAGCACTCCCTCTGTTTGGAAATGTAGATTATTTTAGTTTTGTCATAAGTGAAACTCTCTAAATTTGAACAAATTTATATAAATAGTCAAAAAATATAGATTATCAAGGAAAAATCATTTTTAAACTTAATGAAAATAATTTGACTAGCAAGTGTAGAGACATGTTATGGTCACTCGGATTCACTGATAATAGATTGCATACCAATGAAAAATTTTAGTTTGTAAACCAAGGATGAGAGCATCATGTCCTCGAGCCTTCCAACCATTTACAATGGCGGTCGCTAGGTGTGTCCGTCTTCGTTAATCAAAGATCATGTCTTCTAAAATCATTTTTCTAGTAATGCGCGTAGAGCAGGACCCATTCATGCCTAAAACTAGTGAATGATAGACCTTTGAGGCTTTGACCTGTCCTTCTTAAAACTCCAGATTTCGCTAGCATACGACCAGTCTCAGTGGGAGTTTCACGTGAGTTTCATTTGTATTAAATAGGTTGTCACATAGACATTTTTAATGACATGATAGCGTATTTAAAAAGACAGAAGAAATTGGCTTAATCTAGATGAAACTCTCCTGGCACGATTATCAACTATCTATGAGTCATAAAATTAAATGCATATAAAACTTTAGAATGAAACTTTGTATTGAGAGTGGATGTTTCATCCAAATTTTATTGTTTTAGAAAGAATGCTATGAAACTATACACCGGTCCTGACCTACAAGTTGGGCATCACCTACCTACACCGGCTAGTTATTGTGTCACACCCACCGAGGCGCCCAATCCAAACGAACCACCTTGAACAAACTTGCTGAACTGGAGAATCTTAAAGAAGAAATCTCATTTGGTCCTATAAGAGTAAGACTAATAATATAACCGGCTATTGGCTATAAGGTTTTTTTATAGCCTTTTCTTAGCCCACCCATACAGTATTTAGCTCTTCACTATCAATATATGGCCTACTTGTCTCTCTCACACAGTTTGTTGGTTTTTGTGCCTAACCCGGTTGTAAACTTACAACCCATTTCTCCTCTCATGTCTTCTCCACCTCAGCATTTAGCCAGCTTACATCCTACTATTATACTTATTATACTTGCTCTAAGTGACGTCTTCATGTCTAATCTGACGATGATCCACGGTTCCTTCGAACGGTGAATGTTGTGGACTGTTTCATTCCCAGTTTATACCATGACTCATTTAGAATCTTAAAGCTACGGATGAGGAAACGAATGGTCCTTCAAACGGTGAATGCTGCTGGAGAATCCAATAAGAAATCTCCTAATATGGTCGGTAGCAATTTAGAAATAAAAATCCTAAAACTATGGATGAGGAGACTCAAAGCAAGGCTAATAATATAGCCGGCTGCTGATTGTATAAAAACTTACAGCCAATCTATCAGTCAACTCGTGTAATAGTTAGCTGGTTTATAGCCCACTCATCTGCCACACAGAACTTTTTGGTTCTTGTGCATAAGCTGAGCTGTATACTTACATCCCGTTTCTCTTCTCTCTCTCTTCTCCTCTCTCCTCCACGTCAGCCTACAGCCCGCTTACAATCCCTTATTATAATACTTGCTCTAATGTGCCTGAATTGAGCATGGTTGGGTAGGCTGCCCCTTGAAAACCCATGGAATTGATGCAAGCTGGAGTAACATGGCTCATTTGGACATGTGCATTATTTTGTTCTTGATGGGACGAAAATAAAGCCCACATCAATAAGGAGCCCATAAAGACAGATGAGACACTCGACTGGTGACAATTAAAAAAAACAGTCGACAGATAGATAGTAGAAATTTTGAATAATTCAGACATATGGTGTGACACCACCGGGTCTCAATGTCATACGTGCAACTTCAGAAATGGGCTGAGCGAAAATAAAGCCCACATCAACAATCAGCCCAAACTGAGGACAAATAAGGCAATAACCAAGCCGTTCGATCGAGCAAGCCGCTCATCTGCTACTCACTCCGCTCATTGACCGAATTTTTTATTTTTTAGCTTTTTTTTTGAAAAAAATTCACAAATATGTCTTTGGAGGTATGATTTCAAAATCTAGACCCTTAGCTCGGTGCTATTATTGTTGGCGCCGAGCTTACACGTCTCGACATCATCGTTGCTGTAGCGCCGAGCTCTTGGGTTCGACATAGATGTGGCGGTGACTTGGTAGGCAGCTCGACTCCAAGTTTGGCGCCGTAGATCTTGGCGCCGTGGTTACTGGCGCCAAGACTGTCTTACGTACCGCCAGCGCCCGCCCGAAACAGCGCACCGCCGCCGCCGCCCCTGCCCGCGCCCTCTCCTGTCCCCGACCGCTCGCGCCCACTTGCCCTCGCCCTTGCCCGCGCCTGGCCACCTGCGCCCTCGGCCGCGGCCGCAGCGGCCACCACTCCCGCGTCGTGCCACCGCGTTACCCCGCTGCCGTGCCGTGCCACCCCGCGCCGCGCCGCCGTGCCGTAGTACGCGGCGCCCGCGCTGTCGTCGGTTGGCCTCGCCATGCAGCAGCGCCGGCCATCCGTGCCCGCCGCCGACATAATCATTGACCTCGGCCCCTACAAATACTTTTGGTTTGCTAGCTTTTTCACACACAACAATAAACACATAATATAACAACATGCGCTGAGGTTACCTTGGTTTGCTAGTTTTTTCATGCCTTGGCATCATACGGCTGTATAATACAAATATTAAAAATTACATGAAACTCTAAGTAATGACGATTCTTAGGTTGAAAAATCCGACTAATATATATCGAATCGATGCGAAAAAATTAGGAGGGGAGCGAGGATACCTTGCTCTCGAAGATTTACGGATTAAATCAAAGTTTTCAAGGTTCAATATGCCGATTCGTGAGGTATGGCGAAGTAGGGAGAGAAAAAACTCGAGACGGAAGAGAAAGAAGAGGAAGAAGGCTCGGGCAGAAAGATTGGGGGCTGGGTTAAAACACCACATCATCGCCATATATCCTGGCGCCAAGTTCGACGCCAGGATCTACGGCGCCAAGCTGCCTGCCAAGTCACCGTCACGTCTACGTCAAGCACAAGACCTCGACGCCAGCAACGATGACGCCAAGAAATGTAAGTTCGGCGTCAACAAAGATGGCGTCGAGCTAAGGTTCAGATTTGAAAATAATACGTAGAGAGAAATATTTGTGATTTTTTTGAAAAAAGGTTAAAAAATAAAAAAGCTGGGCTCATTGAATGCGTGCCCCCACCTCTTCCGACCACCTCAGTTAATAAAGATAGCAGCAGTACTTCACTTCACCCCGTTACGCGGTGGTGTGACTGGTGAGTCCTACCACCACACTGACACACGTCCATAGCTAGTCCACACCACCACAGTCCACTGCCAACTCCTCGGCGTGTACGACGGGCGGCTGATCTGAGAGCTAGCGCGCGAGGACGACGATGAAGATGAGCTCATCCGTGCCCGCGGCGGCGGTGGCGGTGATGGTGCTGCTCTCGGCCGTGTCGACGACGACTGTGACAGGGCAGGCACTGGTGCCGGGCGTGATGATCTTCGGCGACTCGGTGGTGGACGCGGGCAACAACAACCGGCTGGCCACGCTGGTGCGCGCCGACTTCCCGCCCTACGGCCGCGACTTCCCGGCCACGCACGCGCCCACGGGCCGCTTCTGCAACGGCAAGCTCGCCACGGACTACACCGGTACGGTAGCTAGTTAACCTGCGGCCAGATCGGATCTCCGTACATAATTCACGTCCCGTTTGTTTGTTTTACAAGTAGCGAATAGTATTTTTCTCTCACAACGAATCAGTCAACTTTCGGTCATGGTTTATGAGCCAAAGCGAACGGGTCATCAGCCGTGGGTGGTTTTGATGGACGACACTAATCGATCGATCGATGTGTGATGATGCAGTGGAGAGCCTGGGCCTGAGCTCGTACCCGCCGGCGTACCTGAGCGAGGAGGCGCAGAGCAACAAGAGCCTCCTCCACGGCGCCAACTTCGCCTCCGGCGCCGCCGGCTACCTCGACGCCACCGCCGCCCTCTACGTACGTGCTGCATTACAGCTAGCTAGCTAGCCGCGCTGCACGAATCATATGGATGCTTGCTTGCATTGCAGGGCGCCATCTCGCTGAGCCGGCAGGCGGAGTACTTCCGGGAGTACCAGTCGCGGGTGGCGGCGTCGGCCGGCGAGCGGCGCGCCCGGAAGCTGACGTCCGGGTCCATCTACGTGGTGAGCGCCGGCACCAGCGACTACGTGCAGAACTACTACGTGAACCCGATGCTGAGCGCCGCCTACACGCCCGACCAGTTCGCCGACGCGCTCATGCCGCCCTTCACCTCCTTCGTCGAGGTATGTAATAAACACAAACCATACATGCTGCTTGCTGCTTAGGGCCAGTTTGTTGTCGATATTTTTTTGGCAAAACGACACTACGTTTTTATTGTTATTTGGCAATTAGTATTCAATTATAGTCTAATTAGGCTTAAAAAATTCGTCTAGTAGATTATCTAAACTGTATAATTAGTTTTATTTTTTATTTATATTTAATGTCTCATGCATACGTTTAAAGATTTGATGACAAGAATCTTGAAAAATTTGTTACGTGGAACTAAACGGAACCTTACTACGTACCACTCGTCCCAAATTCGAGTGAAGTTATGTTTTTTTCTCTCGAAAATTCACTAACTAGGACTAGGAGCCTAGGAGCCGATCTTAACGACCTTTTTCTCCACTGCGACTTGATTTGTTGGGATAGTTCATTGATGGTATGTTGCAAGTACGGTAATGCCCCTTAGCTACCATGCAATGCAATGCAGCAAGATGCATGTCGAGAAAGTTCAAACCTTGAGACTTGGCATCGACTCATCGAGTGGGCATGGGCATGCAATTGAATGACGTCGCAGGGGCGTAAGCGCGCGTTTAGGTCCAAAAACTTTTTCAAAAAAGTGCTACAGTAGTTATCACATTAAATCTTGCGATGGGTGTATGGGACATTAAATGTAGATAAAAAAAAACTAATTACACAATTTAGTTGAAAATCGTGAGATGAACGTTTTGAATCTAATTAGTTCATAATTGAACACTAATTATTAAATAAAAAAAAAATGTTATAGTGGTCAAATTCCAACTTTCCCAACTAAACAAGAGCTAAGTGGTGGAAAGTCACAAGTTGTAGCGGGTAGGGCCGTGTAGGAATGAATGCAGTGCAATGTGCCAGTAAAACTCTCGTCGATCGTCTGCTGTACTGGGTCACTGGGTGGACATGGGTTGCCTGCCATTCACTGTGCCAGTACGTGCGTACGTAACAGTAGCAGTAGTTGTTGGTGTGACATCAATGGCGACCTCGATCAGCCTGTAGAGACCAGACCACTACTGCTGCGTCACATGTGTCCTCTCTAGACTCCACCAGTAGTTGGAGACGGGTGCGGTTTGGTTCAAGACTTCGTTCGCTGCTGCTGTGTTGCATGTGAACGATGAACGATCTTGTTTTTTTTTTAGCTAAAACAATTTTTTTTTCTCATAATATTTTAGTGAGAACAATGTTTTTTAACCTATTTCAGTCAGGGCCGATTCTCCCAACCACTCGCACGGTCACGCCACTGCCGGCAGCCCGGCATGAAGCATGAACAACGCAACCGATCCACTTCCATGTTACCTCTGCAACGTTGTCCAGAGAGAGAGAAGTTAAGGGTTATAAAAAAGAAACGCACGGTCATTCTGGAGCAGAGAATTAACGTTAGAGACAGCCAGACAGGGGCACGCGTACTGCGTAAACCCTCGTTACTGCATATCGTTGTACTCGCTCGGTGTCACTAGTCAATAGTCATACTCAAGACCGGTAGCACGCACTAGTACTATAGCTAGCTATACTCATCAGTATTGCAAGTGTATCGTCAGTTCATCACATGCAGCCTTGGAGGACGCCGCTGTACTGTTCATGCATGTGCAATCGCTCTACAGGAAGAATACCGACACGGCCTGTGGCCGTAGCAGTGAATCTTAAATGATGTACCAGATCCAGTAAGGCCCCGTTTAGATGCGAAATTTTTTAGCTTTCGGCTACTGTAGCACTTTCGTTGTTATTTGTCAATTAGTGTCTCATCATAGTCTAATTAGGCTTAAAAGATTCGTCTCGTAAATTTCGTCTGAACTGTGCAATTAGTTATTCTTTTTACCTACATTTAATGCTTCATGCATGTGCCGCAAGATTTGATGTGACAGGGAATCTTGAAATTTTTTGGATTTTTGGTTGCATCTAAACATGCCCTAAGTGCGATCCAGGGAGCAGTCAAGGACATGCCAAATCTTCTTCCTGAAAGCCAACCAACCTTAAGTGATATATATATATATATATATATATATATATATATATATATATATATATATATATATATATATATATATATATATATATATATATATATATATATATATATATATATCCAGTCAGGGTAATAAACAAACTGCATGCATATCTGAAAGACTGAAAGAAACCACTCATAAGTTATTAGCATACTCAACTGTAAGGAATCAGCTCCCCCGTCAGTACTGCAACTAGGACACTGTAATTCCTTTGTCCAGTGCGTGGCTGATCACCGTACCATTGTATCTTTGCCAATCAAAATGAATGCACAGGGCCTGTACAGTCTGGGCGCCCGCCGGATCGGCGTGATGTCGCTGCCGCCGATGGGGTGCCTCCCGGCGTCCGTGGCCCTGTTCGGCGGCGGGAACGCAGGCTGCGTGGAGCGCCTCAACAACGACTCCCTCACCTTCAACCGGAAGCTCGGCGCGGCCGCGGACGCCGTGAAGCGCCGGCACTCGGACCTCAAGCTCGTCGTCTTCGACGTCTACCAGCCGCTCCTCGACCTCGTCAACAACCCCACCAACAGTGGCGGAGCCAGGATTCTGATCGGGCCGTTGGGTCGTGTTAAATTATACTTAGGGGGGCATTTGAGTCTTTTCATTCACGATAATTTTATTATCTAGTTGTGTTTTGTATTATTATATTATCTAGAAGATATTAATAGGTATATATGACAAGAATTTTATATAATCTTCCTCTTAATATAAATAAAAAATATTAAGTTATACTACTAATTTTTTTTGTTGTCAAACATTGGGGGGGGCCATGGCCCCTGCCAGCCCCCCCTGGCTCCGCCAGTGCCACCAACGCCGGTACGTACGATCGAGCGAGAGCACGGCCGATGCTCTGCTCTCCTCCCTACTCTTCTCTCTTATGGCATGGCGTGGCATGGGCAAGGGTGAATGACAATAATTTAACACTAGTCGTCGTCTCTGCTCGCCTCGCGATGGTTCCTGCAGGGTTTTTCGAGCGTGCTGCGGCACGGGCACGATCGAGACGTCGGTGCTGTGCCACCAGGGGGCGCCGGGGACGTGCACCAACGCCACGGGCTACGTCTTCTGGGACGGCTTCCACCCCACGGACGCCGCCAACAAGGTGCTCGCCGACGCGCAACTCCTGCAGGGCCTCCAGCTCATCGCGTGAGCCACGCAACGGCCTCCCGCTGCCCTTCGTCCTATGTACCTTGCTGCTTCTGTCGTTCTGTCCTGCTGGCTGCCACCGTGTGCTTGTCTGTCCGTCCATGATCTCCCGTAGTTTTGTGATGCTTGGAAAAAGTTGGACTGCTGTAAGAGTGCCGCTCTGTATAATTACATTCCACGTCTTTCCACGTCTTCCCAACCTCTTCGCTGAATTTTGAATTTGGAGTGATCGACGTACATTTCGAAGTATTGTTTTATGCAGTTTCAAAAAAAAAAGTATTGTTTTATGCAGTGCAGCGAGCACCGAGTACGATGTACAAGTACAGTACAACCTTCCTCGTCTCTGCAGGCCAGAACCATGGCCACCACTGGATAGCCAATCCCCCCGTCTTCGTGTACCATAGCTACTAGGAACTGCTGAACGGCAAAAGAACAAGCCATAGAAGAAATACGCGCAATACCGTGGCACTGGCACTTCTACTTGCCAAACAAAGTTTTCTTTTTGATGCACTGGCATAGAAAGTCGTGTTACCTTCAGAGAAGCTGTTATTCCGAATAATCAAGATGCAATTGCGGCACTTGTACATCCTGTCGAATTTTGCTATACCTCTATTCACAGCAAAACCAAGACATGGTCACAACACCACCACCACTAAATATACCTCTATGAGAGTTCAAACCCAGTATTTGAGCTAATGGCGTAAAGCAGCTTGCTCCTTAGCGTGCTTGACCGCTTGTATGTAGGAAGCTGAAGGTAACAGAAAGGATTAGAAAAGGTTAGAAGAGAGCATGCATGCCAGTATGAATGTCACCAGTCAGTGATATGCCTTGAGCGTATTGTAGCATGTGGAAGCAGATGGAAGGCGGTCTACATCTTGGCCTCCAATTGATGCCCAAAGTGTTACATCACATGGAACCTAGGGGAATGAGAAGATTGATGAATCAGACAGAGGGGAAACAACAAAATAACACATGGATCGAAACCGTGTTGCAGAAGTTCAATTTGTTACAGAACTAACAGCAATACCATCAAGTAACTTCGCTAATTATCATTCTTGCATAAACAAATTTAGAGCACATTATGTGTCTCAAGTTGATCTCACTGTAGAAAAATCAAGAAAGAAACATTTGAGCCCACATCTACATCACTTTATCATCTTAAATAGTACTACCTCCATTTCAAATTATAAAACGTTTTGGCTTCTTTAGATACGCAGCTTTTGCTAGGCACTTATAGATATACAGTATGTCTAGATAAATAGTAAAAGTAATGTACCTAGAAAAGCCAAAACGTCTTATAATTTGGGATATGATAGAAGGAGTATTTCACGTGGAATGGACCTGTTCTGAATTATACAAGGGCTTGGAAGTTGTTGCACATCAGTAATGTAGTTCATCGCCTTCCTTAAGTCAATCTGTCACATATCAACAAAACAGGAAAAGTTCTTGGAATGTGCTCAAACCTTATGTATTGTGAAAGAAGGTTGCAAGTACTTGAATCCAAGCAATGGAGCTCGTGAACAGCTTGTCACAAACTTTAGGAGCAAACAACGCTCTGTTGGCTTAAATCCTTTGATGACCTGCATAATGAGTAAAAATGTGCGAACCATATTAATATTTATATTTGCTGTTGGTAAACAAAAATAGTTATTTCATCAAATTTGGCTGAAATGCCAGAGAGGCAAACAGACCGAATCATTTATATAGCATTGAAAAGAAGTGGGCAAATGCATGCTACACATGCAAATAGGTCAGAAATGCAGTGCAAGTATGACAGGAGTGTACAAGGCAAGTTAAAGCTGCCTGTATGTCAGGATCACAATTCACAGTTATATTACAGAATACCAAATGATGTTTTTTCCGAAGTTATTATCACCAGACAAGAAAATACATGAACAACTGCACTCTCCAGAAATTTCCAAATTGGGTATGTATTGCATGAACATAGGTAACCAAGCTGAGATATATGGATCTTACCAAGTTACATGCATCCCTAATGCAAAACAGGAAATAGCAAGAAACCATTAGTGCAAAATGAGCAAAATTATACAAATGCATATACCTCCCAGAAGAGTTTAACAGTTCGACTTGACTCAGTATAACCACCAGTATACTTGGTGTTGTTCCGCAAATCATCAACGTCAAAATCCCGCAGGCCGCCTGAAAGTAACTGCATGCGGCAATGATGAATTAGCAGGATTTGAAAGTAACTGCATTTGGCAATGTGCTATTATTATTTTCTGAGGGGTCAATGTGGTATTATTATTCACAAGCACAAATCAAATTTCAATTTCTCTTCATTTCTATCACTTACATCACAATTTCGTTTTAAATAAAATTTTAAGTTAGTTTTTTCTTAATTTCAAATATTTGAATTCATTCAAAGTTTTATACTTTAGTTATTACTGTTAGATCAAAGCTCACTTCCCACAGTATACCTGGCGCGATGCCAGTTTCAATAGTATAGAAAATGGAGAAGAGAATCCTCTCAAGGAAAAAAAAGAAAAGAAAGGAGAAGAGAGTTACCTGATTAAATTCATTTGCATTAAACAGGCTCAGCCAATACGGTGAAATGAGATCGCTGAGTCCTCTATAAAATGCATTTGCAAATGGAAGTATCTGCAAGGACAATGGTGCTAACAAAAAGCTTTACTGGTACCGAACAAAACCTTGTAAATCAAGAGAAAACAGAGTGTCACGAACCTGTCGGTTAAGCTTGAAATCTGCCATTGCATGAACATAGTGCAACTTGTTTTCGTTTGTGACAGATATATTTTTACCACCAGGTCTAAGCTCATGGACGATTCTTTTACCACCCAACTCTTCAGTTACAGTAAAATCCAAAAATAGATCCTCAACATCCCCATCATAGTGCTGTTTGGTAGAAAGGTAGTGCACATTATTGTTACAGATCGGTAATAGCATCAAAATGTTACTGTCTTATTATGTTAATGCCAGTATGAAAAAGAAAAGCCAAAATGGTACCATATGCAGTTTTACAGAGGTAGCTGATCAACAAACTAATATCATATATAACCACTACAGAGAGAAACCTCATCAATCCCAAAAGTACAATCAATTTTAACAATACTTAAATAAATGGCAAGATCCTATAGAAATTATGTGCAAAAATAGATGCATAAGATTGACTCCTAGTATCACCACTAACCTGTGAACACTACAAACTAAGAATATACATTGAAAGATTAATAAGACATATCACATATTTATGAATAATATCTCAGGAGAATATACTACAACAAAGGGGTTGAATAATAGTCATCCACCCATCTTATGATCTTTTCAATAGAAAAGGTAATATTCTAAGTAGTAGTTTAACTTGCTTGCATCTTGGAAACCAAACCAAAGCAAAAATCTATAGTACCTTTAGTTGCATAAGGTTTCTATAAAGCTCAGGATCAAGAGTTGATAGTTCATCCAGAAAATTATACCGTCCAAGAAGTTTCTGCACAAATACTGGTGAGAAAGAATAGTCCAACAGAATCCCCTCATAGAGTGCTTTTCCGACAACTAGACCAAGAAATTCAATCATATCAATGCCGTTATCCAAAAGCTTAGCAGAATTGCTGGGAATTAAGCTAGTATCAGATGCTGATGTTTGTGAAAACAGCCCATACCTATTGAGTGTTGTCAGAAATAGAAGAAAAAGGTTAGCAAAATTGTCTTCATGAATGACAGTACTCTTCAGTCTTCACTTCTGAGAAAAACAAGTGTAAATCGTAAGATAAATAAAAGTTGAGAAAAACAGTATGCTTACTCTGGACTAAAAGCGGTCTTTGACAGATCTGTTAGGAACTCCTTTGACAGACCACCATAGTCCAAACCAGCTTCAGGAAGACCGCATTCACTCACAAATGACACGTGAATGCAAGATTTCAACTTTGATCTTAGGCAGTTCAACTGCCTGTATCCATCTTCAATTATATGGCCTCGACGAATAACTATCTCAATAGATCCCGGGCTTGGCCCAGAAATTTCACCAGTAACTCTTCTTGATGCTTTGTCTGACTCAATAAATTCTCTAAACATCTGCACCCTGGGTAAAAGCCATAAAATGATGCTAAGAAAATTAACACTACTAGAAATAGTAATAAAAAAGTGTGCAGCTTGTAAAAAGAATCTATATGCTACTATAGATCAAAACTCATCAACCAAACAAAAAAGTGACAAGCATATACACAACTACACAAGCACAGTATGACCACTACATGAGTTCCTCTAGCGGATAATGTATGTGTACCATTTCATTCAATAAATCTCAGATGAAAAGAGGTAGAATTTTGTATGCCAATTTAAACATTTTCCTAAAAAAAGGGTGACTTTTTGGCCAATTGTAAAGGAGTACAAGTGTATCAAATTTTCCTCAACCATCAGACAGAATTACCATGTAAGCTGTGTGAAATATCATGTTTGTACAATCAGTAATAAGAGCTAAGAAGTATTAGTTTTGATCCACCAAGAAAAATCGGCACTAACTGCATCATGGTGTGCAAGTATCTCTTTAGTGGATTTCTATGTGTGAGAAAAGCAACAACAATCAAAGATCCTAGTGATAACCAGATTCAGTGCAAATGTGTTTGAGAAAATTAATCCTCTGCAAAAAGGAGCACATGATAAGCAGGTAGGGTAGGTAAGAACAATCGACTCAGATCATAATCATAAGTTTAGGATCTTTTTTTTAAAATATATATATATATATATATATATATATATATATATATAGAGAGAGAGAGAGAGAGAGAGAGAGAGAGAGAGAGGAAGTTCAGAACATTATTTCTATTAATTTCATGATGTCCGTCAAAATTATTGACATTGTTTAGACCTAAATACAGTGAGGTACCTCTCTTCAAATGGATATACATGTGGTAATGTGGTAAGTACAGAGCTCCGGGGAGGAATTCCTGAAGAATTATTTCCTGGAAAATTACCAAATGCTGCCTCATGAGACCTGGCAGCAGCAGCAATTGGAATTCGGCCATTTCT